GTGTGTTTAGTTGTGATGTAATATCTATCTCTTATTATGTACCTAGTGAAAATCATACTCATGAAATGAGTATGTTGCAGTTGCAGTTGCAGTGGCAGTGCTATAGTTTCTGACTGAAATGAAAAAAACTCGTTTACACATAACTACTATACACAAGACATAATACATAAGATGACTATTTTCTTAATTTAATATTTATACATGTTACTAAGTTTTAACATGAATAGTTTATTTGATTCAATGTAGTTTATATACATAAACTTTTTAAAGTGATTGATATGGGTAACTAACCCTTACGATAACATTTTAGGTATAAATGTGGAGTTCTCAAAGTGATTGATATTTGCTTGATGTGTGCTCACAGGGAAGAATGATTTTTTTTAAACATTATGTAGAAATAATTTCGGGCATTACAAATAGTATCAGAGCCAGACCTCTCTCAGTATAATGTGGTTCAGAGACGAACCATACGGAAGTTAATGGACATGTAACACCTGAGGCTGAAGAGGACGGGCGGTGGTTACACCACATATAATACTCGAGGCTGAAGAGGGCTAAGAGTGGTCGCCACATCAGAATGAAAGGGATCCCGAGGCTATGTATGGAAGAGACTGCATGGTTGAAGGAATGCTTATAAGGATTGATAGGTACTACCTACATCAACAAAATACATTTTCTTTTCGGTAACCTAACTATAATACGGTGGAAGAACTGACTTGGATTATTTGCATTTTATCGCAATTGTTACGGATAGCAAGAGTCGCCACCGAATTTTCTTTTATCTAATAAAGGAAAAGGTGAAAAGAACAGGAAAGACCTTTTGAGAATTTTCTTGAGTTCGGGGGGTAGGTTATGAAGAAAAAAAGGTGTTAGCACCCTTTTCATCTGTAGTTATCTACGGGCTCTTAGTTACTAGTTCACTTTGAAATGCTTTGTTTGAAATGTGTTTGTGATTTGTTTGAAAGTATTTTTGAAAAGTGCCTTTGTTTAGGCGGACTTTGTAATGATTCTCGTCTCTATAAGAATGTATACAAAGTGTTGACTTTTGAAAATATTTCATGGAAATGTGTTGGTGCGTTTGAAAGATGTTTGATTTGAAATGTTTGTGAGCAAACAACTACGAGCGTTCTACCTACTCAAAAAGTCTTTGTTCATTTCTTCCTCCTTTAGATATTTCTATCTTACCATTGGTTGATAAAAAGCTTTATTATTGGATGCGAAGGGACGAACGTGAGTCGTCGTATAGTTATAGAATGCAACTTGTGGAATACTTTAGCAATTGTCGTAATGGACTAAGATCATTTACTGAAGGCAATTTTGAAGGGTCATTTAAGTGATTATGATCTTATAATCGAGGGTCTTTTGCTAAAATAATTCACGTTCGAGGGACATGACTATTTTATTTGAGGCAACAAGTGTGGGTTAACCCTAGAGGTGCAAGTGTGCAAGGTGCATTATTTTCATGCATTTGTCTTGAATTTAGGGCTGTCTACTTGTTGATTTTAAGTCTTGCCATACAAACCCTAATTACTAGCAATAATATGGAAAGCGATAAATTGCGGAATTTAAAAGTCCTACGCTATTACAATACTTGAGGGGATGAGGGATACAAATTTACAAATGGGGATGACAAGTAAAGTAAACCCTAATTACTATTATAAGACTTTGACAATTACATAATTCATAATGCAAAAATAGTAAAATGCGCAAGAAAATGTAAAGTGAAAAGAAATTGTTTTTTTAGGGTTTTTTTTTATAGAAAAAAAAGTTTTGTAGTTTCAATTATTTTAGAAAACAACTTGAATGTTTTATCTAGAAAAAGTTTTTTTGAATAGTGTTAGGCCATCTCCAAGCAATATAATATGTCAAAGGTAATTTAAAAATCTCAAAATTAGGAATTTCACTGCATGAGCTAACACGGGCCGTGTCAGTGGACACGGACACCCATGTTAGGACCTGTTCCTGGCTTCTTCTTCAAATTTTATTCCATACAAAATTAAACGGGCCGTGTCGTGTGACACGGGCACCCGTGTCAACCTCTGTCATTCCTGCTCTGTATGTTTCTGATTCACACGGGCCGTGTCGTGTGACACGGGCACCCGTGCCAGCTCCTGTCCTACATTTTTGTTAAGTTTTCTAGCCCAGCTGAATTGACACGGGTCGTGCCGTGTGACACGGGTATCCGTGTCAGCCCCTGGCTTGCCTTTTTTGCTAAGTTTTTGCTTTGTCCTGTTGTATCCTTTTGACAGCAAAAGCAAATGATGTATGGACAAAGATATTACAGTTTGAGCAAAATTACCTCTTGAAGAGAAAACTTTAGAACATGTACATATGTTTCTGGGTACAAAGTGGTGATTGATCGAGCTCATTTGGACCTCCTAGAAGTTGTTCCAATCCTCACTTTATGCTGAAAGTTGCTGAATCACTCCAACCAGATCAAGTTGCAAAGTATTGTTTTTGAGTTTGAAAGATGGTGATAATGGTGTTACAAAAGTTGTTAGTGTGTTTGAACAACTTCTATATGATGTATATGAAGTATTTGGACAGTTTGTTTGGGAAAAACTTGTAAGGTGTGAGAGGTTCAAAGATTTGGACTTCAAAGCTCAAAAATGGAGGTTTTATGGATAATTCTGGTTTTTTGAGAGTATAGCAGTTTTGAGGGCTTGTTCATCTCCTCTCTATGTTGAAAATAATCTCTCTATTTATAGGCAATATATTTTAAGACAAAGATTGATCAGATTTTCAAAATCACATGTTGTGGCTAGGTTGGGTTGTAAGTGAGAATTCATGAATTTTCATAGTTCCAATGTGGGCATGACCTATTTTTTAGGAGTGGTTTATAGGTTGTAGATGGTTGCTTCTTGCTTTGACATTGTGTATGTGCAAAAAAAAAAACATTGAGAGGCTCAAGGAGTTGACATTGTGATTAAAGCATGCTTTTCAAGAATGACAATGTAAACTTTGTGCCAAAAATGGAAAGATCACTTGGACAATGCTTAAATCAAATGGATCATAGCTTAAAAGTTTATGTAAACATTAAATTATGGGGAGATTTTCAAGTTAGAAGGTCTGCAACACAAGATTATGCAGCATATCATGTAGATTGGATTATGTGTTCTTCACCAAAATGACTTGTAATTCAAGAATGGATGCCCAACTTCATGCCTTTGAATCTCCTAGCTCAAGTATGATAAATTCATGCTCTTGGATGTTTTGGAAAGCTTGAAACATTATCTATAACTTTCATGTTGACCACTTTGGCTAAATCAACTTGGAACTTGATGAAAATTGGCCAAGAAGTTGGGACAAAAACCTGACCAAACCTGTTGAAAATTTCTGTAAGTGTTAGATAAACATGTCATGACTTCATGGGCTTATATCTTTAAATATAAGCATTTTTTGGACATCACCCCTCTAATACAAAGCTGTAGAATTCCTCAAGATCTACAACTTTCATGTTGAAATTTTTCTTTGAATCATCTTGCATCTTGGTGAAAAATTGTCATGAAGTAATGAAATTATCAAAGTTAAAGACACTTAAAAATTTTCTAACTATTGAAACTCTTGACTTTTTGTTGACTTTCTTGATTATTGTTGACCAAGTTTGATATTCTTGAATGTCTTGATGAATTTTGATTTTTTGAAATTCAATATTGACCAAAAATCAAAAGTTTGACTTTTTTGTGTATCAGTTGACTTTTCGTCAGTTGGTCCAAATTTCAACTATCAATTCATTGATCTTGAGAAATGATTTTAGCCAAGAAATTAGGTCAACATGTTGCGTTTGAGTCCTTGAGAATATGTTTCAAATCATTAGGTCATGTATTAGGTCAAAAGTCAATGATCAGCCATTCTCGGTCAAAACCCTAATTTGTGGTCTCAATGCTTATGAGGTGAACTTGTCTGATCAAACCCTTGAGTGTAGTTTGAACATTTTTCTTGAGGAATTATGACCCAAATTTGATCAATTGGTGAATATGACTTCAAAATGTTGATGCGGACCAAAAATCTTGAAGTTTGACAGTAGTTTGACCACAGTTTGACTTTTTATCCAATATAGTTGATTTTCAATCATCTGGTCAATTGACTGAGCAAATTTGTGATTCAAGACTTGAAACTTGACATGAGTATTCTTAGAGGTCTATAATGATCAACGAAGGTCATTTGAGGCACTAGAAGTCCAATTACCCTTGTGAAAATCAAAACTATAATTTGAGACATCGGTGTTTAGAAAATGGTTTGACCTAGTCAACACTTGTGCAAATTTGAGCTTTTGGAGATCTTGTGAGAAATATCTTGAGAAAGGGGAGAGAAAATTTTGAGATACAACACTAACCATAAAAACTCCACAGTTAAGCGTGTTTGACTTGAAGCAATTTTGAAATGAATGATTTTTTGAAAATTTTTCCAAAAAACATTGAGTGAGGACAAATCATTTTAAAAATTTTCCGTATTAGTTTATGAGATTAATCGGTAATCCCAAAAACATAAAGTGTTACCATGGAAAGAAAGTAATCTTTTTGCATAATTTTATGTCTTCAATTTATTTATAAACTTTATTATCCTTTATAAATTTTAAAATTGTTGGATCTTGATTTAACAATTTTTAATAGTGAAAAATGACAAATCTTAATTGCAAATGATTCATTTTCTTTGAAAATAATTTAAATCGCATAGCAAATTTGGTTATAATTTATTACATATGAATAATATATTTTTCAAAAGGAAACAATTCTTACACGCAAACTTGAACTAAATATAACATTTTCGTATTTATAAAATAAATTCCACTATCTTCTTGAACTGACGTGAAACAGTAGTTTAATTAACTTAAATCAGTTTATAAAAATTAAATAGAAGAGTTTCAGACATTAAAAAAAAAAATAGAAATAATATTTTGAAAGTCAAAACAAATTGTTAGTTTGTTTACCTAACAAAGGTGTTGTTACTTCCAGCTAGATTGGGTTAATAAAACCGTAGGAATTAATGAGGAAATGAGAATGGCACAATCCTTGATTGTCGCGACGCTTAACCGGCAAGTGTTTAAAATCAACCTTACAACCGCACTCTTCCCTCATTCTTTCCCTCCTCCTTCTTCTACCTTTTCCAGATCTCGTTCATCTTCTTCGCTTTTCTTCAACCCTAAGACCCCTCTCTCCGCGTTTCTCTCTACTGCTACCTCCATGGGTGAAACTCCTGCTGCCGTTGATGCTGGCATGGACGCCGTTCAGCGCCGTCTCATGTTCGATGACGAGTACGTTTCTTCATCCTTCTCTATTTCTTTTACTATTCGTTTTTTTACCTCTATGTGTTTTTCTGTGATTTCTCTTGCTTTTTTTTTATGTGCTTCATATTTCTGTGCTGTGTGTTGAGAGCTGCGATGATTATGTTGATGAAGAAATCCAATTCTTAGGTTTCTTGACTAATTAGCTTTGGAGTTTTTTGTTTTGCTAAGTGTTGGCTTTGGATTTTAAATGGATGCGTGGTGATTGTTTTCCTTTGATTTGGATTAGGTGTATTGCTCTAAGTTTTATTGAATTGGAACAGGAAATATACAAAACCTTGAAAGTGAATATGACTGTTCTATATCTAGTTCGATACTTGAGATTAAATATGTGTCTGGTGTCTAACACGTGTCTGGATCCACGTGTAGTAAACCGATACACGTGGTTACAGTCAATTCCACTTTTTTAAATTATTAGTTGCTGTGTTATTTCCGGTGTCTGTGTCTTTGTGTATTGTATGGGTTGTAGACATCTTTAGCTTGAACTCGTTAGGCCTTCTGGTGAATGGCATCAATACTTTGGGTGTGTCTTGTACTACATTGATGCTACCTTCTTGCAACTGATATAAGTTTCATAAATAAATAATGTACTGGAGCATTAATTTTTATAAAATTTTGAATTGCAAGGTGTTAGTGAGGGTTGAATTAGACTAATTGGCTATTTCTTTTGCTTTTTCTTTCGTGTATGTCATTCATAAGCATGTACTGTTTCAAGAAGAACTGCTATTTAGAAGATTGCAGTTTTCAGTTTGGTCATTTAAATATTTTGGCCCTATTGAACTTTTCCCAATTTTCAGTTAATTTTGGAGTTTAGGCATAGGTTTAGAATTTTTTTTTTTTTTATATTATCTGATTTCTATACTAGGAAATGACTTTTTTTATTGAGGTTAGTGTGTAAATTTCAAGTGATAATGCTCAGCTCATGTAAACTTGTTCATAAGCTGCATGATTGAGTGTATAACTTTGTATTCATCCTTCATTTGATATAAAATACAATAGGGTTTTAACCTGCTAAAAATACAAGGTGGACATTTCTTTCACAGACAAGTTTGCATTTTTTCTCTCTTCAATTTTTCAGACCTGTTTACACTAGATATCGTAACTTCCATTTTAACTTGTGCATCCTATGTTTCAACATCTTGCATGGAGTTTGTAATTTTTTTTTTTGTATTTGAACTTATACAGATGCATTTTAGTGGATGAGAGTGACCATGCGGTTGGTCATGAATCTAAATACAACTGTAAGCCAATCTTTTCCATTTTGAAATCTTATTAAGTTTGCAATTGCAAGGATTAACATTGTTTTGCGGTAATTTTTTTGGGTACTTTGATAGAGAGTGCGTTTTACATTCATTATTTTGATCAACAATTTTACAGGCCACTTGTGGGAAAAGATTGAATCTGAAAATTGGCTGCATAGAGCTTTCAGTGTATTCCTGTTCAACTCAAAGTATGAGTTGCTTCTTCAGGTATCATTTATTTTTTAATGTAAATCTATTCATTTCCAAAACATTAAAGATAATTGCGTTAGGCCGGCACTGTAAATCTTTATCCTTGTGCCACAAATTTATTGATGTTACTAGTTTTCATGTGTATAGTGTTTTGTCGACACTGATTAGAGTGTTTTTAGTTTCGCTTCTGCCTTCAAATCACTAGGAAGGTTAAAGACCTAGTGCACAATATTTAAAGGGTAAACAGCTATTTGCCGTTAACTACTTCAGTGCAGCCCTTTTACTATGGAGTTGGTGTCTTATTCTCAATTTCTCAGTAGGCAAACAAGAAAAAAGAAAATCAAGAAATAATTTAGTCATTTGTTGAAGATTCTGCAAACAAATAATTGAGTGACAATTAAAGCAGTAACATCATTTTGTGACTAGTTTTATTCAAGACTTACTATTGTGATAAGAATTTCATGATAACGCGCACATTGAACTATTTAAACATGTTCTGTGAACAACACTGACATTTGATTGCCACTTATCCAAATTGTTCTTCTTGTTGTAAAATTTAATTTAGCTATTGCCTTTCTTATTTCCCACCGTTCAGCATGACTGTTTGGTTAAAAATTCTCTATATTTTGACTGAGATTTTTGTTCTTTGTGGTGAAGCAACGATCTGCAACAAAGGTAACATTCCCTCTTGTGTGGACAAACACCTGCTGCAGCCATCCATTGTACCGAGAATCTGAGCTTATTGAAGAGAATGCCCTTGGTATAAACTCTGTACCTTTTATAATACTTATGTAGAAACGACTATGATGCACTTTGTCGTTGCAGCTTGTTAATTCTTATTTTTTCTTCTTGTATTACCAGGAGTAAGAAATGCAGCTCAGAGGAAGCTTTTGGATGAGCTCGGTATTCCTGCTCAAGATGTACCAGTTGACCAGTTCACCCCACTGGGCCGCATACACTATAAGGCACCTTCGGATGGCAAATGGGGAGAGCATGAACGTAAGCTAATTTAATTGGTTCCAAGTTTCACTGCAACCTCGTTTTGTTGTACAAGTATCTAACTAGGATTAATGCACACACACGATAGTTTAGGTTATCCAAACATATAAACTTGGACATGCACCATTAATAGCTCTTCCAATTTGGACATGCACCATTATTGACTCTTTACCCCTCCTTGATTGCAGTGGATTATTTGCTGTTTATCATCCGGGATGTTAACGTTAATCCAAATCCTGATGAAGTGGCTGATATCAAATATGTGAACCGTGACCAGTTGAAGGAGCTGTTAAGGAAAGCCGACGCAGGGGAGGGAGGTTTGAAGCTGTCCCCTTGGTTCAGACTAGTTGTGGACAATTTCTTATTCAAATGGTGGGACCATCTTGAGCAAGGGACCCTTGGGGAGGTCATTGACATGACCACAATTCACAAGTTGACATAAAATCAGAGTTCTTGCAGCATGCTATCAAAGGTTGATATTTTCCGAGCAAATAAAAAATGGAACTGTCAAGAGAGTTTATGAAGTGTTGTTAAGTATGATTATCATTGTTCCTTTCTGTTATTTGATAATATAAGCAGAACATTAGGCTTGGGTGTATCTTATAATTAGCAGAACGTTTTATTGCTAAATTTAAGATTTTGGGATGCGTATGTTCAATAATGTTCAATAATAAACTATTTAACAGTGAATACACTTATACCTAATATTTGGAAAATACGGTGAATGTCTCCCCAATACACTTATACCTAATATTTGGAAAATACGGTGAATGTCTCCCCAATACACTTATACCTAATATTTGGAAAATACGGTGAATGTCTCCCCAATACACTTATACCTAATATTTGGAAAATACGGTGAATGTCTCCCCAATACACTTATAAGTTATACCTAATATTTGGAAATTTCGGTGAATGCTCCTCCCTATCCATCCAAGTCTAGCAAAGTACTATGATGGAGTTAATTATCAAAACCTCCAAAAAGTGGCACAAGTATATTTGAGAGATTATTTCTAGGATGGAATTAGAGAGAGGTTACTAATTAAATAAGTTATTGTCGAAACCTCTCTAAACACTTTGAAGAAAAATATTCCAAGTAATTAGAAAATGCAGTACATGTTTTTTTCCACTTTTTTTAATGCCGTATATAATAACTTCAGAAATATGCGGTGTAGTGTATTTTTTCACTCACCCCGTATTTTCTAGTTGCAATAATGAAAGAATGAAATTAAAATGTGTGGTGCTCCTGAAGATTTTCAGAGGTATGTATGCTTAACTAAGACTAATACGTCATCGTCAAAAAAAAAAAAAAAGACTAATAAGTCGATTATTTGAATTTTATAAATTTAGTGGTTAAAAGACTCTTTAAAAAAATATATTTTTGTAGATTTATTTTTTTATAAGTAATTGGATTAATAGAGTACTAGGTACTCGACCTAAAGGAACAAAGATTAATTCAAATTCGAGTTGCTCGAAGCACAACAGAGTCGTTACTGAAATTTGTTTTTGAAAGGAAAAACGTTGATAAAATCTTAAAAGAATAAAATATGACCGTCGCAACTAAATTTAAGTTCAAGAGTCGATTATATGAGGGAAAGGTAATAACATCTCTCACATTTGTTTTACTCAACGAGAACCATTTAGTTAATTTTGCGAATAAGAGTGTTAGTGTAATGTATTTGTTTCCTTCTAATTATTATTATGTGTTTGCAAAGAGAAATGAAGAATTTAAAATATTTTTTATTAAGGTGTTTGACAAGATTACGAGTCTTGCTCCTACATGTTCTCAGGTGCGATGAGGAATTTAAAGTTATGTAGTTCTTAGTAGCAAATGAGTATTTGTTGGTTGATTTTAGTGAATGATATTTAAGTCGTATTTGAGCGGTTAAATGTTGTTTGTATGCTCGCGTGAGGGAGACTTAAGCGCTTCTTTGTATTGCGTTAGAATGGATAACACATCATTCATTTATAAAAAGCTTTCACCCGCGTTAATGCAGAAAAATAGGTTTTATTGGTTGAAATTATTTTTAGATGGAAGATGAGTATTTAAAAGGCAAGCTATACATCAGGTATCCAAATACTTGGGAGAAAAGGGATATACATCTAACTAGTCATTTTTCATCAATTTGTTATTACGATTTTTTTTATATGAATCGAATTTAAGTCCCTTGAAGAAGATGAGTACTTGAAAGACAAGCTATACAACATGTACCAAGTACTTGGGGGAAAAAGGGATATACGCCTAATTAATCATTTTTCATCCAATTAGAAACGAATTAGATTCGATTGCACTATTACGTTTTGAGAGGGAGAAGAGTATTCAAAATGCAAATTATACATCAAATATTCAAATATCAGGGAAAAGAGGAATATACACCTAACTAATTTTTTTCCGTCCGTTTTTATTTGAGAAAAAGATTTTTGAAGCGTTTTTTATTAAGCGTGAAAATAATTTGATATTGATAAAGTGATTTGATTGATTTTTGGTTTGAAATTGATTTTGTTAACGTCTTTGATTTTGATTTGAAAGGGTTTTAATTTTGAAAAATAACTTGATATTGATCAAGTGATTTAGATTTTAGAAAGGTTTGATTTTCTTGTAAAAATATTTTAAATGAGTTTGAAAAAATATCAATTATTTGATAATTAATTAATTAAACTAATTAAATTAAATTAAATAATTAATTAATAAAAATAAAAGAAAATAAAAGGGGGGATGCGCATACATACATTCACAAGGTAGTATAATAAAAAAAAGTAATGCGTTGGAAGCCCAAAGAAATAAAAAAAAAAGAATAATAACAAAGGGGGGGTGCTGTAATATCAAGCTTTTCAAATGATTCTCAATGCATTTTGTTTTGATGAAGATAAACTATATTGGCAAGAAGGCAAAGATGTTGATCAAGTTAAAAGCATCAATGGATAAAAGTCTTTGGTTCAAGCTCTTGACAAATTTCATAAGGTATAATAATAATTTTTGCTATGAACTTAAGTCTTAGATGCTCAATGATCAAAATAAGTGTTCTTATCTTGTCCAAACTTTTTCTCAAGTTTTCTAAGCAAAAATTCAAATTTCACTTGGGTGCAATCGATTTGCATGTTGGTACAATCAATTGCATGCTTCACGTTTTCAAAATGTTAGCTACTCTTTCTAAGTGCAATCGATTTGCATGTTTGTGCAATCGATTGCTCTCTATCAAATTTTGTTACTATTTTAAAGTGCAATCGATTTACACACATGTGCAATAGATTGCTCACTGAAAATATTTGAATTTTTAGCTGTTAAAACTCGTGTGAAACAACCGGCTGAAAATCATCAAACAATGAAGTCGCCATCGAACGTCTTTTATCCCACATGTAGGGAAAGGTAAACATCGAGAAAACCTGAGAAGGGAGAAGTCACGGTCTTGCGACCGAGAGATCGGGTAAGGGAGTCTGTTACGCGAGGGGAAGGTATTAGCACCCCACACGCCCGTAGTACTCTACGATATCCACCCTTGTTGTCTATCTTATGGGTGTGTTTAAACTATGCTTACTGCTTACTATACTACTGCTAAAGGGAGGACGTATGCAAAAGAAAGGAGAAAAGAATGTAGGGAAAATAAAATTATGCTCGCTTGGGCCCTACCCCAATACCTACGTATCCTTTTGAGGAATCAGAGCTACCGTAGTTTGGCTCACATGTTTTGTTTGTTTGTGTTTTTTAATGGACGATGTTAATCCCGCCTTCTTCCGCAGCTCAACCTTTGGAGACTTATGCGTTGGCACATAAGTAAATTAATCATGTCCTTACCTGAAAAGGGTTTTAGAGAAAAGGTGCTTGAGCGCACAAAATGGTTTGAATTGGTTTGTGTTTTATTACCTTGAAAAAGGGTTTAAGTATGATTAGTATGTTTTTGATTTGCTAAGAAAAGAAGTTTTAGTTTTAGATGCAAGGATGCTAAAAGGGAAAGAAAAGAGTCTAAGGGAGACTAGCCTATTTCTAACCTAATATTATCATACAATGGTAGCCCTAAGTCAAGGATGAAAGGGGAAGTTCCTACCTAATGTTAGCATGCATGGTTTGTAACCTAAGGTCTAACCTGTATCCGAACGGAGCAAGCTCATCCTAAGGGAACATGGTATGTACAAGGATAGAGAAAACAAGCCAATAAACCCAAGAGAGCACACCTAAAGAGATCCTATCTAAGTCAACATGCCAAAGAAAGTCTAACAAAACTATCCTATAGGGAACATGCAATGAGAGCGAAGTCGTGATCTCAATTTCTAAATTGAGTGACTCATCGATCAGCAAGAAATAACAGAAAGCGGTAAAATCCTATAGAGAGCATGCACTGAGAGCGAAGTCGTGATCTCAATTCCTAAATTGAGTGACTCATCGATCAACAACCAAAGAAACAAACACAAGCACAACACATATAGCAAATGAAGCGCGAAATGCCTGCTACAGGTCTTTAAACAGCAACTTCGAGCGCACGCTCTTTATTTCCTACTTCTCATGGTATCTAGAAAGCTATAAAGAAATGCAATAAAGTGCAAAATGAGGAGTAAAATAGAGCCGCGATGATACCGAACGGAGAAAGTTCGTTGCCTCTTCAAAACCACGCGAGCAATGAGAAATATCTCAAGAGCTCCACCATAATTAACCAAGTTAATCCTCAAGCGCTTCATCATCACAAGCCAAAATGCTAACAGAGAATGTCTATTGCCTCATCAAATCCCCACAAGCAATAAGAAAACTCTACAGAAGCTTGAGGAAGTTTCAACCAATCAATTAAAACTTATCTGTAATAGTTGTCAGAAACAAATAAAAATGGAGAAACCCAGAGAGTACAAAGAGCATGCAATGATACTGAATAGCAACCAGAATTTTAGCATTAAGCCCAAACTACATGAATCCATACACATTTTTTTAAAGGCTTCAACATGCCCAAAAAAAAATCCCAAGGCCTAGCAGGAGTTCGGCCCATCAAATACAACCAGCATTCCAAAAATCTCTCTTGAGCAAATTTATATAAAAAATGTAACCATCATTGAAATAATATAAAAAAAGAAAGAAAAAAAAAGAAAAGGGAAAGAAGTGCCTAAAATGGTTTCGTTTGGTATCTGGATATAGGGTTCCAAGTTTGTGACCATTGAAACTCCACGAACAGAATCATCTCACAATTTCCTCTTCTTCGTTCTCAACCCTCTCTCACGAACGACGCGCCTGTCTTCGTCTACTTCTCCCTCTCGGTGCTCACCATCATCATCTAACCTTTTGCAGATTTTCTTCCTCTCCTTCGACAAAGCGGCGGCACCGAGATCATCTTCAATCTTCCATTTTCGCCACCCTTCACAACCATGGCGCCGCCGCGAATGCTCATAAGCTGTGGCCTCACCGTATCTCCGTTCAAATTATCCACCACCATCGTTGTTCAATCGTTCGATTGATGAATCATA